TTTTAGAGTTTCTACTCATACGGTCAGGGTAAATAGCAAAAGCATCACCAAGAAAGCATTTGCTCAGGCCAGAGTGTCTTCTGACACTTGCAAATTTTAAGCCGTAGGAGTTTTCACCTTTGTATCATTCTTCTCTCTTAGCTTTTACTATGTGCAACTGAGCTAAAAATAGTTGCTAATCCTCATGCCTACTGTGTGCAAGGCTCTGTGCCCAGTGGTGGCATGCACTAGCAGGCTGAACTTGCATAAGTTTTTGTTTGTTTTTAGAGGAATGATTTGGGATAATGAGGAAGATAGCAAGGATTACAAATAAAAAACTTGAGAACCAGTGATCTAATCCTATCCTGCTGCCTCCAGACAGCACTGAGCATAAATCATTCAAACAGGTACCTTATCTAAAAGATCTCATTGAGAAGATAGATTCCACAGCCTCGCATCTGAGGATTTCTGTCACTGGCATCATTTGGCTCTTTGTATCTGACCTGCATTCCACCTACTAGCATTTATGTGCCTTTTCTTTAGTTATCACGGAATGGAGACCATCTGGCTACCACTCTTAATCTAATAGACCTGTGTGGCACATTGCTGTCACTTTTAATGGTATATTCTGCTTTCACCCCGTGTTCTTATATTGGAGTCCTCAAAATAATAAATCACAGTCTACTTATTTTACGCTAGGTGGCCCTCTTTGGTAGCTCTTGTCCCATAGCTGAGGTTTTTTTTCTTTAGAATCCAGAGTGAATAGGGAAGTTAAAGAAAGAATGTCAATATATATGTTTGATTTAAATCAATAAACAGTTTTCTTATGAAAATTTAAGTTTAATTATGAAAGATTGCTATACTGAGATAATAGAAAACATCCCGAATTCTCAAAACCAGAATTTGAGATTTGGGATATTCACATTGGTCCCTGACATTGCACCAGGAATTCAGCATCCTTTTCTCAGATTTATAGAGAGCCCTAACTATAGCTCTTTTCATTGTTTCTGGTGATTACAAATTAAACTTTAGGGGGGGTTGTTAAAAAAAAGAGTTGTTAAGGACAGGTTAGCACTTTGAAGACAGGTTTCTAGAACATTCTGCATTGAAAACAAATCCAGAGGAATTCCTGGGACTTTCTAGAACCTTTTCCCCATAACTGAAGAGCAAGCATATCTTGCCTAATAGTGATGATGCTGCTGTGGATAACAACAGCAGCTAACATTTCTGTGTTTATTACGTGCCAGTCTAATATACAAATTAGATTACATATTCATTCAATGTAATTTTCATAACAACCCTGTTGGGTGGGTACTTCTTTCTCCATTGTACAGATGAGGAAACTGAGGCTCAGAGAGACTTAGCAATTTAATTAGGTTCACTTAGCTAGGAAGTGCTAGAACTACAGTTTGAACTCTGGCAGCTTGGTTGAGCTTGGTGCTTAATTGGGTACTTTATGTTTGTTTTCTAGATTTCTACTACAAAATAAAAAGCAGATATTTCCTCTTTGTAAAATGTAATTGATAGCATTCAATATCTGCAGGCTTCAACCTCACATCTTACCCCATTCAAGTCCTTCCACAAAAATGATCTTTCTAAAGAAAACAAATTACGTTGCCACTGCCCCCATTTGACACCTTTTGGGATCCCTCATCCCCTGCAGGAGAGTATAGTCTTTATGTCACCTTCCAGCCTCACCTGCATCAGCTCTCTCTCACCTGGCTCTGGTTTCTCCCCCAGGTCTTCCCAGTAACCTGTCATGGCATGGCCCCTTGCTTTTGCCATAACTGTTCTCTCTTCCTTTCGTCCTGAATTAGTTTGTTTTCTGTTGGTTATAACAAAATACCTGAAACTGGGTAACGTATATGAAAAAGTGGTTTATTTCTTACAGTTTTGGAGGCTGGGAAGTCCGTGGTCCATCTGGTGAGGGCCTTCCTCTGGGTGAGAACTCTCTGCAGGGTCCTGTGACAGTGCAGGGTATCACATGGCAAAGATGGCAGGAGCTCTTTAATGTGCTCACTTGCTCTTCTTATAAAGCCACGAGTGCCACTCCTATGACAGCCCACTAAACCATTAATCCATCAATCCATTTTAAAGGGCATAGTTGTCATTATCCAGTCACCTCTTAAATGCCCCCACCTTTCACACCATAATCATCGATTTCCCACCCTCTTAACGCTGTTACAATGGGGATCAAGCTTCATTGTGTTTTGGGGGGAAATTCAATCAATGCACAGTACCCAACCTTCTCCTGTTGGCTGACTCAGTCTTTTTCAGTTCTGATTTTTGTTTTCATCAGAATGAATTTTTTCAAAAGGCACATGTCCACGTTACATCCCCTGAAATTCTGATCTCTTGGTTCTTGGAAGGAGCCTAGGTACCACTATCTCAGAAGCACCTTATGATTCTGCTATTATAGCCAGGTGAATGAGTCCCTACAACACCTTTACTCAAGGGTCAGCTCTCCAGGAGGCCTTTCTGGAAGGCTGGGTCTAGAGGAGTACCTGTGTGCACCTATGGCTCCGTGCTGGCACTGCAGCCACCACAGTGCATTGCAGAGGCCAGACTGGGTGTGACTTCTTAGGAGAGGATCAGTTCCTATAGGCAGCAACAGGATGTCAGTCCTCTCAGGATCTTCAGCTGTCAGCACAGGGCCTGACACGGGATCTGCCTCCACCACTGATACACTGAACTGCCACCACTTCAGAAGGTCTTCTTCCTTGTTGATCCCCCCTGGATCCCAGTCTGACAAATAGCATGATTCATTCTGAGGCAGAGTTCAGCAAAGGACAAAGATGGCAGTTGCCATTGAAAGAACTGCCATTCAGACTTTCTTGTTTAGGTAAAGAGCAAGATCTTATTTCTTTTCAATTCATCTTCTAAATTTAAACTATGAAAATATGGGTGATTTATAGCTTCCTTTTCTCCCACTGACTTTTGGTGCGGGCAGTGAGATTTTGGCAAGAACTTACAGATCTCACTTTCTCCTGGCCACCCTGCTGCTTTAAGAACTGCCAGGGCTGGTCTTAAATAAAACTGGGAGCATCTCTGTTTCCACCCTTACTGCCTTCTTCCTTCCCTGGCAGATGGCGTTACTGCACAACACTGAATGAGGAGCCCTGACACTGGAAGGGGCAGCTGGGGCCTGGTAACCAGTGATGTATCATGAACTGTGTGTGCTCATGTGTGCATCGGGCTTGTTGGTTCTGAGACATGAACACTCTCTATACACAGCCTAAACAATTTTCTCCCCTCACCAAAACACATTCGGAGAGGACGTAACTTGCTCAGCATAGCCATATTCTCAAAATAGCCCTCTTATTCCCCCATGGCCTCTACCCTTAGAACTGTTCACCCCCATTCCCCCTATTTGAAATCCAAACTAAAGATATATTCCTTCCAGCTCAATTATTCTGTAATTACAAGATATTAGGCTGGCGGGCTCCTGATTCTTTGCGTCTTCTATTAATGTTATATACTAGGCCTATTTAATGTTGAGCTTCTCTATGGATATTAATTTTAATGAAACACTATTGAAGAAAAGATGGAGTTAGAGGGAAACAGGAGAAGGAAGGGAGCAGAGACAGGCAAAGACTAATAGTCTAAAATTCAACAGCAAGCGTGGCTTGTGAAGATCAAGTTGTATTTCTGCTTCATGGATCATTGTCAGACAAATTAAGAACATATTGTTTCTTATTTATCTACTGTCAAGGATTCAATATCAGAGATTGAGAATAAATCTTGATTTTCATAAGCTCTGTTGACTCTACAGAGCCACAGAGCATAAAACTTACATCTAATAAACAGTGTGATTTGGAACAGCAAGGGGTATAAACCCAGTTCAACTCACAGCGGCTTCCTCCTCCTGGCCCCTGTTTTCAGGAATGTTTCTTAGCAAGAAAGATGAAGTTTTTTAATAGACCAAGAATTTGTTCTGTCTGTTGTAACAAAAGTTGTAGTTTTAGGTGCATTATTCCCCCAAATTTTAGAGATTGGGGATAATTATGTTTAGTTTATGTTTTTATCTACCCACTTCCCCCAGCCTCCCTCCCTACCCCTCTCCTACTGAGTGGTTAATGAGTATTAAATGCCTCAATCCCACTTGTTTTAGGGACACCTCTATGATGGGTTGATTGTACAATTTTCATGCAGTGTCTAATATTACTACTTGGATAGTTAGAGCTTGGAAGACTATTAGCTATCTGAAGTTCCTAGTAGGAATTTTTGTTTTGTATTCCTGAAGTTGAAATATGAAAATTATAATTTTATTTGATTAAAGATAAAGAATCTCAGTATGAAAAAACTTAGACTCTGGATAGATAGCATAAATCTTTAAAATAATATAAGTAAAAATGTAAATAATTTAAATCTTTTCAGTAATACTTATTAAAACATCACTTCCCTAAATCCTATAATATCAAAATTAGCATCAATGCCATGAAACTTGAAGCTTATTTAGACTTTAAAAAAATACTCCTTTAAAATTAATGTACAGTGACAGAAAGCAGGCTGAGTTTGCCTGGTGAGGGGTGGGGAGGATCGATTGCATAGGTGTATAGGGAATTTGGGGTGATGGAAATGTATAAGGTTTTAAAAAAACCTACTATGTACTTAAAATGGGTGCATTTTATTGAACTTAAATTACACTTCAGTAAAATTGATTTTTTAAAAACTTAATGCTTTCTCATTTTAGTAGCATTAAACTTAGTAGAAGCTATGAGCTTTAATCATAGTATAGTATCCCTCACCCACACCCCCCACTAATAAGCAAGGAAATGAGCTATTTAAATGTCAGTTATGTAAAATCCAGGATAGCAGGACAGAGCGTGTTATTAAGGAGAAGCTAGAGCATGTGAAGTAGGTCACTGTCGTGTGAGGATGCTGGTTGAGAACTTAGACCATCACTTACCATAGTGTCCTTGACAGTGAGATGCTCTCAGACTGGTTGGGTCCAACAGGGGAGCAAAAGAAAGACCAAAAGTGAAAGGGTCTCTAAATGTATCCCAATTCCTTTTGGCCAGTTGTTGCGAAGCTCTTTGGTGAATAACAGAACTCAAGCCAAGGTGGCAGAGGAGCTGGGCATGCAGGAGTATGCCATAACTAACGACAAAACCAAGAGGCCGGCGGCCCTCCGGACCAAAACCTTGGCGGACCTTTTGGAATGTGAGTCCTACAGAGTAAAGCTTTTCGCCTAACCTGCAGGTTCAAAGTTTAAATCCAATTGACCAGTGTTTATTCTTCTTCTCATTATTATGTTCTGGCCAAAGAAGTCTTTTTTAATTTTAATTTTTATTTATGCTTTTCATCAAAGTTTATTTGAAGGAGAATAATTTGGAATTAAGACATGCAAATAATGAATTTTATGTTCAGTGATACCCACCCCTTGCCCCCTCCCCACCAATCCTGACACTCAGCCATCACAACCCTTTGTGTGAAACCGTAACAGAGTATGGAGATAATTGTGAATTACAGCTTTTTTGCCACCCAGCAGAGTTCGTACAGGGGCACAGAAGAAAGAAGGGTAATTTATCCGCTAAGTATTATTATTCATTGTTTTGAACAAGTGCAAAGCTCTTTGGACAAGTGTCATCTTTTGCAGTTTCTGGTATGGTCTGGTAGCGTTATAAATAATCCTATTATAGCTAGCTAAAGGATTATACACATAATTTTATTGTTTCTGATATTACTTCAAAAGAAATGCGCCATTTACTGTGTCTTAGAACTTTTTTTTAATGTTATAGTATTTTTGACTGTTGGAATTATGTATAAATATTAAAGTCTACCATGCAAAACTAGCTCATGTACAAGATGCAAAGGCAATGTCACTAAGGAACTTAAAAGAAATTCTTTTCAACTAAAGAAAAGGAATTTGAAGATTAAAATTACAAAAAACAAATTAAGATCAGTGTCACTGGCATTTTCTTTTTAGCTCAGTGAGAACTATATTCCCTCTTTTAAAAATGCATCATTTGTTTACTTGGTTAAGGTACCTCTCAATGAAGTCATCTTTGGGGTCACCATTTATTAATGCCAAGCTGGCTAGATTGTTATGTTGTCATTAAGTCCAGTACTAAGTTTTTTCTATTTTGGCAGATTGAACCTATAAATTGTCCTATTTCTGTTTATGAATTTTACGTAGAACCTTTGTAAATGGGTGATTCCTCAAGATTGCTGTTGAGAATAGCAGGACCCAAGGATATGCTTATTCTGGTATCATTTCAGATCTGTTTTGATTTATTTGATGTTAACAAGGTTGTGTTGCAGATATATTTCTTTTCCTGCTATACAGCAGCATTTTGTATGTCTTTTTAACTAACTATTCATTTAGCCCTTAGCTAAATGCAATTAGGTCTTTGTACTCAATGATTTTGTATCTCAATCACATATCTATGTTGCTTCTTCTAATATTAGTGATAAAGAGTAGAGTCTTGTTTGAAGAAAGATGAAATGGTTATGCTAAAAAATAAAGAGGGCCTGGAAATTGAAAACAATTTCAAAATGTAGCTAATGTTACATCTTTCTGGTAAATAGCAATAAATTGTGGTTTAATTTTAAATGTTCTTTTTTTCAGCATTTATTGCAGCACTATACATTGATAAGGATTTGGAATATGTTCATACTTTCATGAATGTCTGTTTCTTTCCACGATTAAAAGTAAGCTCATATAAAGTTTAAATTAGTGGTGTGCTTTATGCTTGGTGTTTCCAGAACTGATTACTAAATAGTTTTCTGGGGACTCACTGCAGGAGTTCATTTTGAATCAGGATTGGAATGACCCCAAATCCCAACTTCAGCAGTGTTGCTTGACACTTAGGACAGAAGGAAAAGAGCCAGACATTCCTCTGTATAAGTAAGTATTTGCTGCCCATAGGTCATTGTATCCAGTGTTCCTTTTACATGTGCCTCGAGGAAAAATGAATTATTGTGGGGTAGTCATGACAAGAGCCAGGATTAAGAGTTCCTGACTGTCAGTGTGATTCTGGGCCCAACACAGAAACTCTTTAGGCCTCTCAGTCATAGCTATAAATAAGTGGGTCCCACTGGGTTATCTCTATGTTTTCTCCCATCTCAAAAATTCTCTGTGAACTACTACATGGTAGGAAGATTTACTAAGATTGTGAGATGGAGATAAGAAAATTTGGATTAAATCATTTTTATATACATTCCTATACTTGTCATCTTACTGCTTGTGAGGATGTGTGCCTAGATTAGAAGATGTGTGTGCTTATTTGTAGTGGCATGTGGGTACCTCTCTGCATTTTCCTGGGAGCCCCTGTTGGCCTCTGTCTCTCGTGCCTGACAGGTGTGCTGTCTCCCACAGGTGGTCACCATTAAGAAGCAGCACAGTTGTTCCTTGCTGCTGTGTGACTCAAATATTTGCAACTTTTCTTCTCAGAATTTGTATCAAAAGCTGCCACATACTTTTGAGTGTCTCTGTCCTTTGAGTGGTAGCCAAAAGTCATTCAAAAGACATGCAGGTAAGGAGTGGGTCACTATGCTGCGTGACAACTGTTTTGCTGAAAACAGAAGGTTTGACTCTGAAGTGGAATAATTATCTTGACCTGCTCATATGTTGATTCAGAGGTGGTTTCAAAGAATTACATACACACTGAAGGGATTACTGAAATAGGTGGGTTGCTTCCCAAGGTATTGTCTGGATATGTGATCGTAAGGATGTTTAAAAATCTGCTTTCACAACCGTTTACTCTGTGTCTTTGCACACACATGGCTGTAAGCACACACATTGTGTGTGTGCTCCATGTGGAATTAAAGCCCGCCTTTGGACTTTCTCCAGTTTTAAAGTACTCAGGGAAAAACACCAGAGTGGCAGTGGGAATTTTAAATCCTTTTTCATGTTTTTATTTAACAGTCACACTTTATAGGACTTTTTGCTAAAGGAAAAACTGAGGCCAAGAGAAAGTTGAATCACCCCACAGCAAGCTACTATAAATTGTGCCAAGAAGCTGTCACTGCTAAACAATGTTTCCTTTATTTATTGGGGAAAAAACCCCCAACTGTTTAGAAATAGCACTTTAATATGTGCCTAATAAGCATAATGAATATCCAAACTGTATTATATGAAAGGCTCAAAGTATTTCCTCATCAGAGTGATAATTAAGGTTCAATAAATAAAATGAGGATGATAAACTCATAGCGCAGGCATGATTACTATAATAAGTACCACCTTAAAGAAGCCACCCGTGTGCTTTCATCCCATGCAGTATATAAACACAAAGGAAATTACTATGTTCCCTTCTCATAAATCCCCCAAATGAAAGTACATGATGAGTTTGTTGTTCTTTTATCAGGTCGATGGTGTTGTTTTACATAGTTTTTCAAGATTACTGTGTTCATTCCTTTATCTTTGCTGGCTTCTTTTAATTTCCCTTTTCCATAAAGTTATCAGTTTTGCAGCATTTGAAATCTGTACCATGTCATTAAAAGCCAGAATACCTGGAGCTTTGTTTTTTCGGCAGTTGTGTTGTGTACTTGGCATTATAGCGTACCTTTGAAATAATCTTGGATGTTTCAGAAATTAAATGCGTTTTCTGATCTTTTAGATAAGATACCAGACATTAGAAAGAATTCATAAAGGATGTGAAACCATTCAAGTGCAGCTTGAGGTGTATTATCTAAATATTGTTTTTAACTATGATTAGCACTGAAAAACAGTGAACAGACTGAAGCTGTTAACTTTATATGATAAAAGTTTGTTAATTTTATGATATTTGGAATATAGACACTTAGCAATAGTTTTAAAATATTTTACCCATTCACTGCTAACCTTCAGATTGTATGTATATTACTTTGGGGAAAAATATAAAAATGCAGTGCAGAATTTAAAAAATTTTCTACTTCAGAAGTTCTCAGTTTGGTTAGTAAATCAAAAACTTACCCCTTTTACTTTTCTGCCAATTATAAAATTAACAAACTTTTATCGTGAAAAGTTAACAGCTTCAGTCTGTTCACTATTTTTCAGCGCTAAAACAATAAATATTTAGGTAATAACACCTCATATGTTTCTTGTTATTTTTACCTTCCTCTGTCTAGGCAATAAGTGCATACTTGGTTTTTCTCATAGTTACATAGTAACAATAACAAAATACTTACAATGATTTATGTTCTTTCCCCTTCAGGACTCTGCAGACGGTGGGGCCATCCCATGCTAGAACCTACACCGTGGCTGTTTATTTCAAGGGAGAAAGAATAGGCTGTGGGAAAGGACCAAGGTATGAGAAAAAATACTTATTTCTTCCACTGAACAAGTGGTGTGTCTGAGAAGTTCCTACTTGGTTTTTCCAAAGTCTGCAGTGTTTTTCAACTTGGAGAATAGAATGTTTGAGAGTAACAGAAAGTGAATTCCATGGATTGATGTCCCCATCAAGCCAAGCCCTGAATTTGAGAATCGGCCTTGGACAGCGGGAATGCCATTTTGTAAGGGTCTTTGGCTACCTTAAGAAACCCTCATTACCTGGGTTCAGTTTTAGGTCCCCAACAGTGTGTGCATTGATATGAACCATATAGTGTAAGATGTGTCATGTCGTGCATGACACAGCCATTGGACGTTTGATTTCTCATTGCTACTCACTGAGCTTTGTGGAAATGCTAACATCTTTAGGTAAAAAGAATTATGTATGTTATCACCTTTCTTTGAACCCTCCAATTTATGTCTTAAACTGAAAAGTGATTTGAAGCTTGTCTATATATACATATTTTTTATTCTTTTCTCCTTAAACTTTACACTGAGAGTTTTCTAACTTAAGTAAGAAAGACTTCAGACCTAATATAAATGGAAGGCATTTTATTGTGGTTTTAAAAGTGTGGAATGAATAACTTAACCAGGCTTTGTGCAAATAAATGACATTTCTGTATGCTCTCGTGTATATTTCTATCTGTGCAATTCAGTATGTGACAGGAAAAGTAACCAGATGAAATTTTATGCACCAAACATGAAAATATGCCTGAATAATTTGTAGGCATACCTTGTGTTTTTGAAAAAAAAAATCTTTAAAGTATACCTTACTTTTATTTTATTTAATAGTATTCAGCAAGCGGAAATGGGAGCTGCAATGGATGCACTTGAAAAATGTAAGCCTATCTCTTTTTCTATAATTATATGTTCACAATGTAATGAGTGTTTTATGGAAAGAAAATGAGGAAGTAGAAAAATGGTAAGTGCTGATAAAATGTGATCTTGTTTTCTTCATAATTATTCTCTACACAGAGAGTATAGTAGAATACAAGATAAGTATAAAATGGGCTTATAATTTTTTTTTTAAAAAGTATCCTCGAGTGCTTTTCATTTTCATTTTTCTTTTTGGCACGGAGTTCTACTCTCTATGGTAGCCCATGTGAACAACCTACTGTGTTTTCTTCCGTATGTTACAGACATAGAAGATTACATGTGAAGGTTTTTTCTTTTTAGATTTTGGCCATTGTTTGATTAAATGAGATGGTATTTCCATACTTCTCCACATCTTTCTTTTCTCCCTCAATAATATATCATGGGCAGCCCTGCAGGTCATAGGGAATGGCTCCAATTCATTCTTTCTTAATCGCTGCATAGTATTTCCTGCTATGAATGTGCTGTATTTTATTCAGCTTTTTTATTATTCCTAGACACTTGGTTTCTGTTTTGTTTTGTTTTTTTTAATCATAGGTTTAATCATAGGTTCCCAAGAGAGGGACCGCCTGGGTTGAAGAAGCTTCGATTACACAATTGACCTTGCAGGAAGCTGCATAATCTTTTGTAAATTGAAGCTTTAAGTGCAAGGGATTTTTCTTCTAAGGTTTATTGTGCTGCATAGCAGAACCTGTGGGCATAACGTGCCAATGCAATTCTATTATGCTTCAAGTATCCAACTAAATGAGGTGGGAGAGAGCAAAGTGTGGGAAGCTAAAAGTGAAGAGGCCGGGGATTCTCAGCCATGGGAGCAATTCAGGAAAGGCAAAAGGCCAAGAGTCAAATGGACATCAGCAGAGAGTAGCTTCCTGTTTGTGACTGGGGAGAGTAGTGAGTAGGGGCAGAAGCTAGTGCTGTCAAGACCTGGCGTCCATGGAATCATCACTGAGAATTTTAAGTTGACTCTATTGGTAATCACATATAGAAATAAAAGTGAGATTCCATTTTCTGGTTATAAAATTGTTAAAGGTTATTTTTGGAGGTTGGTTGGTTTGTTTATTTTCAACTACAAAACGGTAGTGGAGAGATCATCCATTCTGAGACAGACCTCCACATATGTACTTGTAGGCGTGAACTGTTTAAACTGCTAGAAAGCAATTTGACAGTATGTAACAGGTCTTTAAAGAAGTTTATATCCTTTGATCCAGAGATTTCATTTCTAGGAATCAAACCTAAGGAAATAATTAGAATTATGAACTAAAGTTCACATACCATGATAATCATGACAACTTGATTTATAATAGCAAAAGAAAAGAATCAAACTGCATGTTTAACAGTAGGGGAAGGTTTAATAAATCATAGTATCCCAAGGGTTGGCAAACATTTTCTGTAAAGGGACAGATACAAATATTTTAGGCTTTGCAGGCCATGCAGTTTCTGTCACCTCATAGCCCACAGGCATAGAGAGGATGCAAACTAATGGGTGTGTCTGTGTTCTAAATAAAACTTTATTTACAAAAACAGGTAGAGGGCTACTTTTGACCTGCTGGTGGCAGTTTACCAGCCTTTGCTATATCCAGATGTTGCAGCTATTAATGTTTTTGAACACTAATGATATGGGAAAATGCTTACACTACTAGAATAAGTGAAAGAAAAGTATACCCATAAAAACATGCCTATACTGTACTCTCCCACTGTAAGGATGGATGGTGGAATGATTTTAAATGTTCGTATGTCTGCAGTATATATACACACATTGTGTGTATGTGTGTGTATGTATGTATTTATGTAGTATAACTTCACTTCTTAGGAAAAAGACTGTAAGGATATATTCTAAAAGTTTATCAATGGTTAGGTCTGAGTAGTGGAATTTTTTTTAATGCAAATTCAATTTTACAGTAGAATTTACTGAGGAAACAGGGTTCATTTCGTGAAAACTTGCTTTACAACTAAGTTATTGGGATTTATTTATTTATTTATTTTTAAAAAGTACTTATAATATTTGAAACCCATGACTTATACATAAGGAATCAATTTAATATCATTTAGGGAATAGGATTTTATTATTATTTTACTTCTAAAATACAGATGTCATGTTTCTCTTATATCTAAAATCAATCACTGAGCCTCAGACAAGGTCTTTACTGATTCACTGATTTACTGTTTCAGATGCTTTTCCTACCACCCTGTCCCTGTCCCTTCTCCAGCCTGGAGTGAGCATGGGACACTTTATTTAAAAAAGGGGGAAAAGAATTTAGGAATATGTTATCTACAGTATGTAGATCCACTTTGATTACTCTTCACCCTTAAAATAAACAAACAAACTTGCTTTCCCCAAAACATGTCATGCTGTGCCCCTTCTCCGTTGTTTTTATGTTTGAAACATAAAGTAGCCCCGCTTCTTTAGAACAGTCCCTCATCTGGTTAGGCAGAACAGCTTCATTTGTCTTCTGTTAACCAGATAACTTGTGCAACTGTCATTCACATGTCCCTTTGTGATGTTTGTTAAGTATGCATTTGTTGACTGAGTATATAAAATGGCTATTTCTTGTTTCATACTTGATTTCTCACTCCATTGTTACACAAAAGTTATACAGCTGTGACAACTGAATTGTAAAATTTCTAAATCTTAATCAAGATTTCCATTGGGTCAACACTGTTGCACAGGGTCAACTATCAAACTAAATATAGCTTGAGTGATGTGTTTCCATTAACCAAAATCATTGAGTAATGTGTTTCCTTTAAACAAATAAAAGTTCTCTACTTGAGTTTCGTTTGCAGATATAGCTTTGGGCCTCTCATAGTAAACTTTAAAAATAGAATTAATTATCAGACATAATGACTTAGAATGTGGCCTCCTTTTGACCATCTGGTCTTTTTTTTTTTTTTTTTTTCTTTTCATAAACTTTAGTTCCTGGTAAATAATGATGTGATAATATCATTATCCGTTTGAAGTTTTTGGATTGAGCTTTTCAAAAATATACAACTCCATTTCACTGTATTCTTTAATCTCTCCCTGAAAATAACTTGTTGCTAGGAGAAAATGCTGAAGTACTTGGTCAAAGACCACACATACATGTTTTAATATTTTCCTGTTTTGGTGCCTTTTTTACTCAGATTCACATCAGGTATCTAAATCTAGAATCAGGGGTGCTGATCCAGACTTCCGATGTGTTTCTGAATGATGAAAGAGTAAGGGAAGAAAACAAACAATTTTCTTTCTCTTGACTTACAAAATACAACTATATACACTTCATATGAATATGCATTTGCATGTGTATATGTTTAGTTTGCATCATTCTTTGCTTAATGGCTATCCTTTACTAAGTATAAAATATATCTCCTTGTGTCAGATAACTTTCCCCAGATGGCCCATCAGAAGCGGTTCATTGAACGAAAATATAGACAAGAGTTAAAAGAAATGAGGTGGGAAAGGGAGCACCAGGAGAGAGAGCCGGATGAGACTGAAGACGTCAAGAAGTGAAGGCAGGCCTGGAACTGGTGACGTATTTACTTCCTTAACAACTGTGATCCTTGCTCATTGAGAGCTAGCCTGGTTTTCCTAACACAGTGAATGAAGTGTGTACATTGAAATAAAACACAAAGCCAAATCACCGTTGTTTTGCTGACTTAATATCCTGTTTTTAGCTGGATGGTCTTTATTATAAAGTATTTGATTTCTGTTTAATGGAAAACTTCATTTTGTTGGATATGCACTATTATTTTGCTCTTTAAACAATAAAATTCAAAAAGCATATTCTATGTGAAATATATCCTGTTTTTCCATCTCTGTCTCAGATTGTGACCTGGCTTTCAACTAACAAGTGAAAAATTCATGTTACCAGATATTTTGACTGTACTCTAATAACATCTATACTTTTTGAAATCTCTGGATTATTAACTATATTTTTCAGCTTTCATCTGGATCACCTGGATGTTTATCAAGTTCTCAGCTATAAATATTGAACTTTCCCCTCTCTAAGCAGTGAGTCCTTTGTAGAAGGAATTCGTTTAATGTCTAACTGGTTAATTGTGCTGGGGGGGGGGGAGACAGATATTTGAGTCACATATTGTGTATTCTTTGAATCATTAGAATAGTGGAGAAATCATGATTTTAAGCCAGACCACACTTTAAACCAAGTGTTCTCACCCTGGGGTGAGTAGACCCTTTAAGAAGTTTATAGACAGACTTCAGGAAAGTCTCAGAACCTCCTGAAATTATATTCAATTTTATATGTGTGTTTAGGATTTGAGAGGGGGTGGGGAGCAGGAAGCAGGAGAGTTCATAGCTTTTATCAGCTTCTCTAAGCGGTTCTGTAGTAAAGGGCTGACATTACATTAAAAGACATGACATTTTAAAAAAAATGTTATTTTAGACAGAACATTGCTAGCTTCTTAAGTTAATAAAGGCAGAACTTCTTTGTAAAACAAATGTGTTTTCATTTATTATTTCAGTAAATATATAGTGAGTGCCTACTGTGTCTCAGGCACTGTCCTAGGCTCTGGGGCTACAACAGCAAACAAAGCAAACAAAACCCCTGCCCTTGGGGAGCTTGTGTGCTAGTGCAGGAATGCCCACGACAGACGAGGAGGTTGATGGCAACAAATAAAGCAGGGCATGGGGTGGGTGCCGTTTTCAATGGGGTGGTGAGGAGTTCTCCCTGAAGGAGTATCATTTGAGATAAGACAGAGAAGAGGAAGGGGAGTGAGCCGTTCAGTATCTGGGAGTTTTTCTTTTCTGTGTAACTATTAAATATTGCATACACATTGTCAAAAAATTGGAAATTTCTTTCTTTTTTTAGCAGAGAAAAAAATGTTACTCAGAAAATATTGTGGAAAAAGTAGAATGCATAAGCAGAAAAATAAATCACTCATGATTTCATCATTCAGAATATTTATATCCTGTCAGACCTTCTGTGTGTATATACATACACACGTGCATTCGAGTGTGTTTTAACAATAGGATATCACACGTGTGGTTTCCGCAGCCTTTCTTTCTTTCATTTATTTATTTATTTATATTGAAACAATTGATTGTACATGTCTGTGGAGTACAGTGTTGAGTATCAATACCTGTGTGCAATATGTGATGCTCAAATCAGGATAATTAGTATATTCAATATTACACAATGTAATCACTTTTTTGTGGCTCTTTATCAAATTCTCGTTAATCCTCCCTCCTCCTCCCCTTTTCCCACTTGTGGCAGCCTCAGTTCTGTTCTCTTCTTTTGAAAGTTCAATGAATTATTGTGATTGTTGTTATCTTTCTTTCTTTCTTTCTATTTATTTGTTTATTTTTCTAGCTCCCACTTATGAGTGAGAACCTGCAGTATTTCTCTTTCTGTGCTGGGCTTATTTCACGTTAACATAATTTTCTCTAAGTTTCTCCATGTTGCTGCAAATGGCAGAATTTCATTCTTTTTTATGACTGAGTATTTCATTCAGTACATATACCACGTTTTCGTCATCTAGTCATCCGTTGATGGACATTTAGGTTGGTTACAACTCTTGGCTATTGTAAGTAGAGCTACAATAACATGAGAGTGCAGACATCCCTTTGATGTGATGATTCCATTCCTTTGTGTATATACGCAGTAGTGGGATTGCTGGATCATGTGGCAGCTCTATCTGTAGTTTGAGGAACCTCCATGCTATTTTCCATAATGGCTGCACTAATTTACTGTCCCACCAGCAGTGTAGGGGGGTTCCCCTTCTCATCTTCTCTGGCATTTGTTATTCTTTTTGGTAATAGCCAGTCTAACTGGGCTGAGATGATATCTCAATATGGCATAGCCTTTCTTTTTTATTTACTAATATATCATGAATATCTTTCAGTGTGAATCTACATTTACATAATTGTTGATGGCTGCATATTAATGCATGTCTTATATGACAGTTATGGATATACCATAATCTTTTAACCAATCTAATGAAAGATGTGTAAATTGTAAGCAATTTGCTGCTGTTATAGACAGTGCTGCCACATACATCCTTCAAGGTGTGTACACATACACGCAAATACACACACACACTAGAAAGACTGAGGGAAGACCTCTCTAGAGTTTCTTAATTTATTAATTGTGAAAATGTAAGATGATGCCTATAAGGAAAGGTGGTCCTGACGGCCCTCCTCCCCACAGTGAAGCAAGGAGACAACTGGAAGGTCAGCACTAGGTAGGGAGAAGAGAGCTCATTTCTAAGCTAGGTTGTATGGTACATCAACCACCCTATTGAGTGCAGTATTTCCCAGCATTATATTTAAGTTACATGACAGCAATAGCAGGACTGGAATAATGGGGAGAATGCTGGATTCATAGGTGGCCTTGAAAATGTTATGAGAAAAAGCAAAAAAGCAAGGTAAAATATTTGAATTTTTTTAAAAAAGTGCTTTTACTAGTATTGATTGTGCATCAGAATAATGCCAAAGCCACCATGCTGTTCAGGAATTTTTATTGGACCTTGACTTTTCCTCTCTGTAGTACTCTGGCCCTTTTCAGGTTCTCTCTCCATATTAATGGCTCTTGAACTCTGGAGGAGTTAAGACCATAAAACACTAGAGTACCTCTTGTAGTGGAACCTGCCAAGCACGCCATCAGGGTACATGAGCTCCCAGAGCTCTGCAGAGATGCAGTGAGGCCAGAAGCCAGATGGTACAACTAACCACATAGGCCAACTCAGCAGGCCACTGTGACCACAGATGTCAGCCTTGCCTCCTACCCAACCCAGCCAGTCTCCACACGCATCCCAGTTCTGATCAGAAGAGCCAGCAGGAGTGTAAGTGCATGCCTTAACTGTGTGCTAAGCACTGTCAGTCACAGAGGCCAAATATGAAGTTTTCTTCACACACTCCTTGGGGTCCAGTTGGGGAGACAATTAAATGATGGTGTGTGTACAGACAAAGGGCTCCTGAGACTGGGAAAGGTAGGAGGGAGGGTAGGCCAGGGAGGGAAGGCTTCACAGAGGAGTTACTACTGAGTTCACTCTACCTTGATGATGAGAGGTAGCTTGCAAGGTGGGGGAGGACATTTCCTTCAAAGAGAGCAACTGGATTGGGGAGCAAGAAAATAGGTTAAGAGCCTGTCTGAGTCCATTTAGGCTGCTACAACTAAATACCATAAACTGGGTGGCTTATAAACAGTAGAAATTTGTCACGGTTCTGGAGGCTGGGAAGTCCAAGAAGATCCAGGCGCCTGCAAATTTGGTGTCCAGTGAAGGCTCACTTTTTGTGGTGTCCTCACATGGTATAAGGGGCAAAGCAGCCCTCTGGGCTTTCCTTTTATAAGGGCACTAATCCTGCTTATGAGGGGTCTGCCCTCGTAACCTGATGATCTCCCCAAAGGCCCAACTCTTAATATCATTACGTTGGTGATTAGGTTTTTAACATACGATTTTTGGAGGAATACAGACATTCAGATCACAACAGAGCCTATCGTGATATTCCGTGGGAGATGTGATAAAGGCCTGAAACAAACCATTGGCAGTGGGAGTGCTGGAGTGGAACAGATTTGAAAGATCCATAGGAAGTAGAACCTATAGGACGTGGGGTAAGGCAGCCTATCTCAACCCCAGCACTATTGACATTCAGAGTCAGATAATTCTTTATTGGGGGCAGGAATCCTGTGCAAACACTGTTGGGTTTTGTTGCATCTCTGGCCTCTATCCACAGAATGCCAGCGGCACCCCTTTCCCTAGTTGTGACAAGTGAAAATATCTCCAGACATTGCCAAATATCCCCTGGGGGCAAAGCAGCCCTTGGTTGAGAACCACTGGGTTAGAAGAAAGGCCAGTTTTTGCACAATCAAGATACAAACTACTTCAAGAACTCCTTAACTTCTGATAACAGTCCTTATTCAAGTATACAGCTGGTTTGTTCGAGTGATGATAACCCCATAACTAACGCAGCTTGGAACCCTGGCTTCTAGCACAGTGCCTAGATCTTCATGGGCTCTCCATTACTGCTTTTTGAATAAAAATAACCAGCTCCTCCTTGCCATTCTTCCACAAGCCTCAGCTACCCTAAAGCAGAACTCCAGCTTCCTCCACCCAACCCTCCTGCAGGAACTCTGAGGCTCAGGCACAAGAAGGACCCGTTGGAGACTGGAGCATGTTCACCCCTCAGGATCTCCAGCACTAGGATTTGGATTGGAGCTAACTGCTAAAACAGAGCACAAGCTCAGTGGGATTCAGCAGGAAGCAGAGGAGCGTGCCTTCTCTTGCTTTCTGTGGCTTTTCTACCTCTCCAAAGAGGGAGCTCACTTCAGATGGACAGGGCAGACAAATAACAGCTCTAGTAGCATTGTGAGTATTTTAGATGAGATAGAGCTGCCGAAACCCGAAGACAGGCTGTAGTCACCGACCCTATGATCTGCAGCAACAACTCCCTCTCCTGTATTCTTTGCTATGGGCAAACAATCTTTATTCAATCTTATATAACTGTACTACATAAACACATCTCCAGTTTTTATCTCCGACTAGATTGTTGTCGCTGTGCTTCTCCAATTTAGGAATTTGGAAGCTGCTCTGCATAAGCAGGTAAGGGCAGAACCCCCAGTTTTCCCTCAAGATCACCCCAACTAGGTTCTCGATCTCTTTTTTGCACTGTCAGTGGCCCTGGAAATTTCCTTTTGAAGAGACCCGCTCATGTCCGTGCCAGTAACTCAGCAGTGAATGAGCACAGCTGTCCTACCACCCAAATAGCTGCTTCTGAAAGTTTTCTTTCAATTCTGCGGGAGTATTTGTCAGGTTAAGGAAGAAGTTTTAAATGAAGTTTAGAAAAAAACCCGCAGCAAGCTAATCATTTGTATGCTGAATATTAGCCCATCACAATTTGAAACTCCAGGATAAAACAACTCATAATGAAAATGCAGAGAGACCCCTAACTGTAGCGGTTTGCTCACCTCTATTACTTTGATAATAGGGGTCTCAGATGGAGCTGTTGAGAACAGTGGCAGCCCCTGACTAGAATTCAACTGGAGAGATCAAGAGAGAGCCCTAATTGCCTTTCTTCTCAGATCAAACAATTGCCTTAATTCTCCAGGCCTACACACGGAAATGTGTTTGAGGAGATTCAAATAGGTTACTATAGAGGATTAAGGTTTTCTCTGCAGATTATGCTTTTATGCCCTGTAGTTCATTGCTTGAAGTGTTAAGTAGTTTTGTCAAAATAAGCAGGGCTGGAAGGATTTTTTAGAAACTTACAAATCACGTACTCTTGCTGAGTAGCACAAGGGATGTCGGTTTTCTCCCCTCTCCCTTTTTTTTTTTTAATTTAGTGGTTGAGGCTTGAAGGTGAGGTGAAATTAACCATGTTAAAGATTAGTTGGAAAGTTCAAGAGGCATCTCAGATAAGAGAAATACAAGTGTGGGGGTTTATTGTGTTTCATCTCTTAAAAATTATTTCACAAATAATGCGGCTGAAGAAGCCACATAAAG